TTGGAATTGAACGTAGAGAGGAAACTCTTTTTTTTTTTTGGAAAACTTCATTTTTGTTGCTCTGACGAAATCTCTTGTTTCCAAAACAATAATGGTTTGCCTCAGTTAGTTTAACATACACACATTTTTTAAACAGACTAATTTAAGGATTTTTAAGAATAATTGTGCTACGATTCCCCTAGTCGTTATAAAGCCGAATTGTGATGAGAATTCCATACTGATGCCTGTCATAAAAATTATCATTTTATCTCTTTTTTTTTTGTCGAGGTGGCTTTTTAAAAATCACTAAGATAAAAAATACTGATAACAAATTACAACAATTACAACTGAACATTACAATAAAAAAGAATAAAACTTTTAAAACAATATGACAAACGTGCAGCCATGAACTATATCTTTTGGGATAGAATATGACACAATTTGCAACCCACGTTTACCTTCATCCTGTAAACAGCTTCCCAAGGTAAAGAGAAACGCCATCGAACTGAAACCTAACATTGCATACAGTACGTTGCACGCCATATGAACTGAGGTCAAAACTGTTAAGTCCTTCTGTTATATGCGAGTGTCTCCAGTTGTTTATTAATATAAACAAAAGAGTATAATTCATGATCAGTTTTATTGCACCAGTCTTAAACTCAGGCGCCAAGATACCTGTATCATTTGGCACTGGTTTGAATTTTCATACAAAATGTGATCAATGCTAATAATTCGTTTTTCCTGGCACATACAAAAAAAAACCCGACAGCACCAAATATCTTCTTTTCTCATGAGAAGGTCTTGTTAAAGAGAAAATATGAGATAATTTGGGAGAAAAAAACAACACCAACTCTGTAAAACTCAAATAACTCGGCTTTGCTGGTAAGTATTGTAAGCTTTTTAAAAAAAATGAATTAGTACTTGAAAATCCTTCGGCTTTAATACTGAAAACCTGTTCAGCAGGTTATGTCGTCGTATTTAGGAATGCTAAAAAAAATGTACAGTGGAACCTCTATTAAGGGGACACCCTCGGGACCAAGGCAAGTGTCTGTTACGCCGCAAAAAGTAACAATTTACGAAAAAAGTAACATTAACGCGAAAAGTAACATTAACCGGACATGTAACAACTTTTGACGCAAAATATAACGTTTTAACCCTAAATTTAGCATCTTTTGTACCCAAAATGAAACAATATTTTTAACGCGAAATGTAAGCAAAATGTTACAGCCTGGAGTAACTGAGAGACTTGGATATAAGCGTAACGTTGTTGGTAAAGTGTAAATTGTCTGGTCGTTACAAAAACAGTTTATTTATAAAGTTTTCTTTTATAATATCAAAAATTAAAACTTACAAAGAGTCTTAAGCAGGTGCTAGAGTTACAAGTCATGTATAACTTTGGAAAAGTAGTATCACAGGCGGTGCAGTAGGGGGCAGTGGGTACGCCCCCCCCCTCCCCCTTAAACAAAAATTTGGGGAGACAGATCTAGAGCCCCCGTCGTTTTGGTGCCTCACACTTTTACTGATGTATTTGACAATACCTGTGACATCAGTGACTTTAGAGCGCACATTTTCTGCGTTCAGACGGCTCAAGAACAACTGCCCACTGATGCATTGTCAAAACTCGATTACGGACACAGTAGGCACTTATCTCATGCATACTCTGAAAGAAATTAAAAGTAGCGTTTTATTATTGGCCATGCCACTTTTCAGAGGTCATGTGACTTGTATCACAAATGCCTGTTTCAGGATTTAGTTACTATTGTCAAAAAACGTTTTGCAAGTTTATTTGATGTATTTTTGTAACCATCAGCAAGTTTTTTTCTTTATCCAAGTCTCTCAGTTATTTCATGGCTTTAACATCTTGCTTGTTACCTTTCGCGTTAAAAATATTGTTTCATTTTGCGTCAAAAAGTCGTTACATTTCGCGTTAAAACGTTGTTACATTTTGCGTGAAAAGTTGTTACATTTCGGGTTAAAGTTACATTTCGCGTGAAAAATTGTTACATTTCGGGTTAAAGTTACATTTCGCGTCAAAAGTTGTTACATTTTGCGTCAATTATTACATTTTGCGGCGTAACAAGTCTCCCCTGAATGGAGGTTTAGCTGGGATTTGCTTCCAATAAATTAACTAATAAATATTTTTCTTTTACTCTGCATCGGAATCTGCTATAAGTAATCATAATTAACTTATCTCTGCTATGATGTGTGCTGAATTCCCACAAGTGCAGTACATCGATTTAATTGAGAAAGTTCATGTTTTGAAAGCGTTCGCCATTGTAACTAGAGGCTGTAACTTGTGAACTCTTAAACTTATCAACGACTGAATTGAGGTGTCCCTTGAACAGAGGTCTGACATCAACTGAAAGATAAAATAAATGCGGAGTTTTTCGGATAGACATATCAAAAGGCTTCGGCAAATAATTGATCTGCTTGTCACTGACAAATCTCGATATATTGCTCGACCTCGTCCAATAATTGTTTTATCATTCGATCACAAAGTTTGTTTTTCAATGAATATCTTCGGGAAGCGAAGCGATCTACTATTTTTCACGCAAAAGCGATCGCAATAAGGAGAAGAGAGGTTTTCTTTACGCATGAGCAGAATATTATTTGCAGCCAAACACAATAAATTGAACGACATTGCACATGAGCAGACCATTATTTGTAGGTAGTTATTTGCAGGTCACGATGTGGGCTTTCGGCCGATGAAAAGGAAGAACAATTTCCATCAAATGATAATTCGTCATATTTAATAACAGTGAACGTTAATTCATGAGAGTTAAATGATACAAAATCTTTAAGAGCTCAGAAAATGAACGAAACTCGATGTCCGCGACTTAATAGTTATAACATTTGCCTTTTCCTTGGCGGTTTTGATATATGAAGGAATATTTATTTCATTTTGTCTTGTCCCACATGTGACAGTCTATAAAATTTAATCTACTCCACCAGATTAGACCCTGAGTGTCTTACAGCTGATATCAAGCGCTATCCAAATAACTGAAACAACAAAGCAGGGAACTGGCCCCTGTAAGTGTTTGTTCCATTGCTGTCATCTGTTTTTTCTGAGTCCCTGAAAGTAACAGACACTCCATGACACTTGATGTTTGTTTTCCCTTCTTCTCCATAAAATGACCTATCACCCTGAATGAGGGAGACTAACTCATAACGGTTATTCTGCTTTAGATGCACGGGGCTATTAAACAAAACATCAAAGCCATAAAACGTCTTGGAATCGTGTTGTTTCAACTCTGAGATGTACGATCCCGATTTCTTCACAACACACAAACCACTTACAGTGTCAATCAAATCAACACTGACTGTGTAACTGCTTCCTTCTCTACCAAAGTGCTCCACCCCAATTAGTTGCATGTCCTTGCTGACAGTGAAACAGATACGGTCACTATTTCCACTACCGTAATTCCAACAACTTTCATGCCCAGCGATGCGTAATGATTCAAATCGATGGCAAGCCTGAATAAAGGGCTTGGTTCTTGGGATTACCGAGAATTGTAAAGGGGAGGTCAATAAACCGTTGAAGTGTTTCATCAATTCAACAACTTCTTTCATTGTCAGAATGTTACTGTCGGGGACAACAGAAAGCAATTCCTTCTCTGACATCAGCGGAAACCTGATGGCCTTCAAGGTTTCCTCTCCAATTATTCTTCTTTTGGCTTCACTATCGGAAGTTATTCCCTGTCTATCCATTTCTTTAGTTGCCCAGCGATCAACGGCTTTAAACAATTCTACTTCCTTTATGTTCAATACTTCTCTCTTCACAAGAGATTCCACAAGTGACTTCTCAAGCGTGACAAATTCCTCAGACAACACAGCCTCCTCTGTCTGCTTCTCGATCACGGCCCAGCATCGATCTTCCAAATCTTTATCCTCGAATTTCTTAGCGTGCGGCAGAATGGAGAACACATTGGCTGCTTCCAGGTTGTCTCGCAGATACTCACTGCATTTATCAACAAGTGAAGGAACCATGTACTTCTTCGCCAAGTACAGAACATGCATCACATTACTTCCGGTTAGGTTCACTTCATCGCTATACAAGTAACGAAACAACTCCAGCAGACTGTCGTACTCACAGTCAGGTAGTGTAATAGAGTCTGTACTCTCCGCCATTTTACCAAAGAACATGGCACAGAACACCGGACTGCCGATTGCAAGAACAAACTTGTGAGCTGGAATCATCTTCCGGCTTTCACTTTCATTAATATTTGACGCAGGAACGATGAACTTCACGTCGCTTAACAGCTCGTTGTTGAAAATGAACTTGGTTC